GCGTGGAGTACACACCCGCAGAGGTTGATCACTTGTTTGGGCCCCGCATGTGCCCCGCATCGTGCATTCGTTGCGCATGACATAGAGAGACAAGACAGAGAGAGAGAGAGAGAGAGAGAGAGAGAGAGAGAGAGAGAGCAAGACAGAGAGCCAGAGGAGAGAGAGATAGAAAGAGATTCGTCACATGTGTGAGGCAACCTGAGAAGATGTGGTACACGGTACACGTGAGATGGTACGCACTGCCAAGATAGTTGGTCACATTTTTGGGGCAATTTCCTGGGAAGGCGATGAAGCAGAGAAAGAGCGAGATAGATGTGTTCATATGATAGATATGAAGCAGAGAAAGAGCGAGAGACATAGAGAAGGAGAGAGAGGAGTCGGTCACATCTTTAGGGCAACTTCCTGAGGGATGTGGGAGGACACAAGAGAGAAGGTATCGTTGTCCCGATGGTTGTCTCGATGGTTGCCCCGATGGTTGTCCTGATGGTTATGGTTGTCCCGATCGTTTTCCCGATGCTGGTCCAAATGGTTGTCCCGATGGTTGTCCCGATGGTTGTCCCGATGGCTGTCCGTCTGCGATGCAATGTTGTCTGTTTCTGCTGTTATACAGTCCCAAGGATGACGCATGCAATGCTCATACTTTCTCCTGCTTTCGCAAACAGGTCCAGTCACACTATGAATATACACGAAGCATACTAAGGCGACTCGTCCTCTGCGACGTCGCGAATACGCTTGGGTACACGGCTGCCTGGCTGATGCAGGTGCGGGCCTGGCTGATACCCGTGCGCTCCCAAATGGCCAATGATATTGCCGATACGCCTGCTGGCGGGAGAGCCGGGGCTCGCATACGGCAGTGCGAACGCGGCCACGACATGCGCCGGCAAGAGCGGGTAATCGAGCATGTTCGGATACTCGTCGCTCTGACCAAAAGACCGCCATACGGGCAACCACCACCACTGGTCTTGACGCGGATACTTTATCTCTGGGCCGACCTCAGGGGATACGTTCCAAATGGCCATTTTCTGCGGGTCCGTACCCATGAAGGCCGCGTGATACGCAATGAATACGTCCAAGGTGGCGAGGGCCCTGAAGGCCGGATACGATCTCCGCGTGAATGGGAATACCGAGCTGACCGAGCAAATACCGCATACTGCTATACACCCACTGGCCCGGGTGGACGAAGAGGTGGGCTTTCCAGGCGACGATACCTCGCCCGGTGCATAGCGTGTCGAATACGTGCAGTAATAGCATGCGAGCGAAAGTAGCTCGCGCGAGCTCATGTAACATAAATGTTGGAAAACCATTGGTTTTTTGAGGATTCGGACAGCGCGCGCGGGTGGAAATTTTGAAAAGTCGTGCAGCTGTTTTTCGAGGACCTACGGTGCGATTCGTGTGATTTTATGATGCGCGGTGGTAAAATTCTTAAAAACCCAATGGTTTTTGTAGATTTCGGCGTGCGCGCGCGAAGAAAAAACGAATGTGTCCCGCATGGTATTATTTGACAGGGATGATGGCCCTGGCAGGTGCGCAACCGTTGTCGCAGAAGTTTGAAAAAGTTGCTCGCAAAAGCCCGTTTGACAAAATTGTTTAAAAAGTGATGGTTTTCCTACGAATCCGCAAGAGCGCGCGGGATGAGATTTTGACAATTTTTTATTTAAAAAACCATTGGGTTTTTGATGTTTTTATGTTGAAATCGCTCCGAAACCTAAGGTTTTGGAAGGATTTCGTCTTGCACGCGCGAATGTCCACTTTAGCTTATTTTTTGCAAGGGATTCTTGAAATTGGATTACATTTGAACAAGAAATTTCATTTTATAGTGTTTTTTGCAAGGGAAAACGGGGGGGAACAAAACAACCGGATCCGGTACTAATCCACTTTTCTGAAGCTTTCGCGAAAAAATGATGAAAATGTAGCTGCGGCCTAGGTTTTGGAGGGGGGTCGTGTACCAGGGGTCCCAACAATAATTATTCTTTAGAAGTAATAATGTTCAACAACACCATCAACAACCACAACAACAACAACTCTAACAATAACAACAACAACAACAACAACAACAACAACAACAACAACTATAACAGCAACAACAACTAGAACAGCAACACTAACAACAGTCATTCTAGTAATGTTCGCTCTGACTTGCCCGTGTGTCATTCAAAACGAGTTCCCCACACCCTCGCTACCCGCCCTTTTTGTCTTCGATCACACCCCCTTTGGGGGGATTCTTTCTCTTTGCGGGGCGCGGCGGGCTTAGATAGGCGGGCAAAGCTGAACGGGCGGACAATCCTCCGTGGGCGTACATGTGCCCGCCATTGGAATTGGTGTGGGCCCTGCAAAAAGAGGAGGGGGAGAACGAGGGAGAGTGGGAGGAAGGGATGGGGAGGGACGGAGGAAGAGAGAAAACGCCAGGAGAGAAGGAGCGAAGAGGGGGGCGGTTGATTAGAGGCAGAGAGAGGAAGTCCTAGGCGAAAGCGCCGTTCCTGAAGGAAGTCTCGGGCCGGAGCCCACGACGGGCGGGCGATCCCCTGACGGGCGGGTCGGGCGGGTGGGACATTCAAGTGGGATGCCTGAGTCTGGCGAGCGCGCGATTCCTCAGTAAATTGTGACGGCGTCCTTGGCGCAGCTTGTTTCCTGAGCGTCGAAAGCGCGATTTCTGAGTAAATTGCATGGAAAGCACAGGCGAGAGCGCAATTCCCGAATAAAGTGTCAGGGGTTCTCTGGCGGGAGCGGGGGTCTTGATGAAATTGCGAAGAAGTCTTGACTGAATTGCGAAGAAGTCTCAAGCGGGATCGCCGTTCCTGAGAAGGGTGGACACGAGGACGATGCGCATGCACTCTTGCAGGAAGCCTCTGGGCGCCTACTGCACTCCGCTCCCCCCCTCCATGCCTACAGGAAAGAAATGCGGACCTCCTCCTCCTCCTCCTCCTCCTCCCCCTCCTCCTACACTCCTTTCTCTTATGAATAACTTCTCCCTGTCGCACCCCGAAGCCAACTTTTAGAGCGGGCCGGGCGTTCCGCCTGAGACTTCCTCATCACTTGTGTCTCTGAAGCTTAAACATTGGCAACAGCTTTACAGATGGAGAGCGGGTCGTTTTCAAAATGTGGCCCTCGCCTTAGCGCGGCGCACGTTCGTTTAACACATTTGCAAGAGCTTCACGGATTGAGGGCGGGTCGTTTGCGAAATGTGGCTCTCGCCTTAGCGCGGCGCACATTCGTTTAACACATGTGTAAGAGCTTCACGGATTGAGGGCAGGTGTTTTTCAACATGTGGCTCTCGCCTCAGCGCGGCGCACATTCGTTGAACACAGTTGTAAGAGCTTCACGGATTGAGGGCGGGAGGTTTTCAACATGTGGCTCTCGCCTCAGCGCGGCGCACATTCTTTTGACAAATTTGCAAGAGCTTCACGGATTGAGGGCGGGTCGTTTGCAAAATGTGGCTCTCGCCTCAGCGCGGCGCACATTCGTTTAACAACTTTGTAAGAGCTTTACGGATTGAGGGCGGGTGGTTTTCAAAATGTGGCTATCGCCTCAGCGCGGCGCACGTTCGTTATACACATTGCAAGGAAGGGTTACACGGATTGAGGGCGGTTCCTCTTCAAAATGTGGCTCTCGCCTCAGCGCCGCGCACATTCGTTCTAGGAATTCCTAAGAGTTGCACGGATTCCCATCATCAACGTACCAGGAACGGTGTTTTGAAAGGGTTTAGGACAACGCGGGCACAACAGTTACGTTGATTCGCTGTGTTGAAGTCCCACGAATGGCGTGCTGACACGATGACGATTACTGATCTTCAACACGCAACAGAAGGTTGATCCGTGGCGTTGGAACCCCGAGAACAATGTTTTGGCATGCTGCAGGGTCTTCAAACGGTTGTCTTCCAACGAGGCAGTTCCCTCAATTGAAATGAACCGCTGTAGGGGCCTATGAAGAGGGAGCTTGGAGGGAGGGTTAATTCCAACGTCGTTGATGCCTCTTGGTTTTACACTGGTCCTCCTCCTCCTCGTCTTCCCCCCCTCTCCCCTCCCTGCTCCCTCCTCCTCCCGCCTCCTCGTCCTCCTTCTCCTCCTCTTCCGCCTCCGATTATCCGCACGCGACGTGTGCAGGTGCCGGGCGCATTGGCGAAAAGAGGGGGAACGAGGAAGGCACGCACAAGACCCCCAATAGGTCAGCACTCCAGCCTGCCCAACGAAGGGTGCAATGATGCCGAATCAATGGAACTTCCTTCTCCTCCTACGACTGAGGTTGGCTGTGCCCCCCAGGATCCTCATGCTCCATGGGGGAGTGCCTCAAGCTCTAAGAGCGGTTGGGAACAGGGCCAGGTGATGAGACACGTGGCAGTGCAGCGGGAGGAGCAGGTAGGAGTAGGAAGAGGAGAAAGACTCGATTATCTATGATCAGACGACGGCTTGGGTCAGCAACTGATCTCCAAATCTACAGCGGCTTCATCTTTTTCAGCGCGCTGGCCACAGACGTCTTGATGTCTGAGACGGGGTACTTCGAGGTGAGCTTGCTGGTCTCGAGCCTGTTGTTCGAGCGCGCGGACGCCAGAATCTTGGCCTGCTCCTCGACCGAGAAGTTTTTCCATGTGAAATTTGGATCCACGATCTCCTTGTACATCTCAAGGATCTCGTTGTGCGATATGACGCCTGGGTTGGTCAGATTGAACGTCCCCGACTCCTTGGCCAGGGCCATGGTCACCAAAACCGGCACCATCTCGTCGAGCACGGTCATCGAGTTCGGCACGGAGCAGACCTTCTCGTACTTGCAGATCTTTGTTATGAAATTTCGGGGGTGGTGGTACCCCGTGATTAGACGAAGAGAAAGAAACGCAATAGACATAAACTTTTGGCGCTCCGCGCGGATTTCTTGGATCCGCGCTGGTCTGGACCCCCCTCCCTGGCGCGCTCCGCGCGCCAGGGGCGGCGCCGGAGGCGCCGCCAGGGGGCCCCAGCGCGGATCCACGAAGTCCGCGCGGAGCTCCAAAAGTGTACGTTTACGCCGTTTTCTGTTCTTCGAGATGGGCATCCGTATTCGCAAGTTGAGAACACCAGAATCGAACTGATTCATGAGGAGGTCCGTGAAACCCTTCACGGTGGAATACGAGGAGCCCCAAAAATTCGGCGGGCTCTCCTCCGTGAACCCCCGGCCCGTGTAGGCCTCCTCCCGCGGGTGCTCGGCGTCGTACTCGAAGATGCACCCCGTCCCCATGTCCGCCACCGTGCACTCGGCACGGTGGGGCTGTGTCAGACGGCCTGCTGTCCAGCTCTCTGACAAGGTCTCTGTTACGTTTCTGCCGCCCTCTTGTGACAGTGCCGGGTAGACCCCCTCACCTTGCCGTCGCTCGGACGTCCATTTCCCGTGCCTTTTCTAGTTTCGTGCGTGTTTTTTTTTTGTTCGATGGTCCAGGATGGTCCTCGATGGTTCTCGCCGAGGAAAAAATGCACACGTCCGAGCGATGCCAAGTCACTCCCGAAACTGCCCAAGAACGCCACAAGAGAGCTTCAAAAGACTGCCTCGAGATCCCACCAGACGGCCCCTTACGGAACGGCCCCTGTGCAGAGCCCACACCTCCCAGGGACTCGCGGCTGCCCCCGGGCGGCCCCAGGACACTCTCAAGAGGCGGCCAATGAGAATTCCCGCGATACCCTAGGAAGCCCAAAGCAACGACAGACTCTGATGGAACTCGAGAACTAGTGGCTGCTTCTGACGCTTGCCTTCGGCTCAAGAAGGGTTCCCGAAGGCCTCTGGGCCCCAACAAGGCCACAGTATAGCCCTAGACCTCCCGAAGAGAGCCCGAATAACGTTCCAGAACCCGACCAAAGGAGCACAAGACGGCTCCGCCAAGCCGCGTGGGAGAGCTCGGTGGAAACCTCACGCCGAAGCAGCCACCAAAAACCCAAAACGCCTCCGACAGGCCCCTCAAAAGGCCTCCAAAGGGCCCCAAGATGTCACCGAAAGGCCACCAGGAAGCCCCGAACGCATCCAAGAGAGAGGAGGTATGAGGGAGGAGCGAGAAGGAGAGAGAAGGAGGATGTGGAGGAAGAGGTGGAGAAGGAGGAGGAGGGAGGGAGGGAGGAAAGCAAGACGAACGGTGCTGTGGACAAGAGAGGGGTGTTAAAGAAGAGTTAGAGACCCATACAAGCTTAGAAATGGCACAGAAATGGAGCGGATATAAAAACTCCTCCTCCTCCTCCTCCTCCTCCTCCTCCTCCGCCTCCTCCTCCTCCTCCTCCATTCCTTCTCCATATGAATAACTTCCCCCTGTCGCACCCCGATGCCAGTTTTTAGGGCGGTCCCGGCGTTTGGCCTGAGACTTCCTCACCATGTTTGATTATGATGCTGAAAAAAGGCAACCGCTTCACAGATGGAGAGCGGGTGGCTTTCAAAATGTGGCTCTCGCCTTAGCGCCGCGCACACTCGTCTTAAACATTTGCAGGAGCTTCACGGATTGAGGGCGAGTCGTTTTCAACATGTGGCTCTCGCCTTAGCGCCGAGCACATTCGTCTCAAAACTGAGCAGGAGCTTGACGGATTGAGGGCGGCTCCTTTTTTAAATGTGGCTCTCGCCTGAGCGCCGCGCACATTCGATTAAACACTTGCAAGAAATTCACTGATCCCCATCGACATCGTACCAGAAATTGCGTTTTGTAAGAATTCTGTTCTATGAAGGTTCACAAGTGCTGAATCGCGTTCTGGCACGATTCAGATCGTCAAGACGTAACAGTCAAGTTGATCCGTGGCGTTGGAATCCCGAGAACAATGTCTTGGCATGCTTCCGGGTCTTCAAACAATTGCCTTCCAACGAGGCAGTTCCAAAAGTAAGAACGAACTGTTGTATGTGGCCTGAAGAGGGGGCTTGGAGGGAGGGTGTATTCCAACATCGTTGATGACTCTTGGGTTTATACTGTTCCTCCTCCTCCTCCTCCTCCTCCTCCTCCTCCTCCTGCTCCTCCTCCTGCTCCTCCTCCTCCTCCTCCTCCTCCTCCTCCTCTTCCTCCTCCTCCTCCCTTCCGCCCCCACTGCCGCACTGCTGCGCCGGCACGGCGGCGGGGCCCGCCGCAGGCGACCGGCTAGGTGAAATGCAGGCCACGGGCCTGGCAGAGCATGGCGAGAACCACGGGGCTGTAGAGGTTGTCGCGGACGTTGTCGTACAGCTTCCCCTTCTCTTCCAGGTAGTCGATGGTGCCGACGACAGAAGAAGAAGCAACGGCAAGCGCATAAACTCTTGGCGCTCCGCGCGGATTTCCTGGATCTGCGCTGGGATCTGCGCTTGGATCTGTGCTGATCTGGCGCGAGGAGCGCGCCAGGGGCGGCGCCGGAGGCACCGCCAGGGGGCCCCAGGCGCCGATCCAAGAGGTCCTCGCGGAGCGCCAAAAGTTTATGCCTGTGGCGTTTTTCTTCTTCGAGATGACCCTGCCGTCCGCCGTGGTCCCGTGGGTCCTGCCCACGAACGACATGACATGTGTCGGCTTTACCTCCTCTAGCTCCCTCGCGACGCCCGCCGCGTCCTGGGGCAGGCTTCTCAGAAAACTGAACCCACTGGGCCAAGAACAAAAACGCCTGTCCTGGCCGCGACACTGTCCCGCTCCACCAACGTGCCGAGAAGTACAGTCAACCCGTATCGTAAGGATGCGCGGTAAGGATGCATGTTAACATTTCCCAATCATCCTGTGGTGTTGGGTCCCCGTTTTGAAGAGACAGCACCCCGCGTTCCTCACATGCTTCGTGGCCCCATAGGGAGCTCCACCGAAGGCACCAGTGGGAAAGTTCGCACGGCACCGCCGCCCCATCTCGGCAAACACTTTACACGCTTCGTGGTTCCATAGGGAGCTCCGCCGAAGGACACAGTGGGAAAGTTTGCACGGCATGGCCGCCCCATGTCGGCACATCTCTCACACGTTCCGTGGCCTCATACGGAGCTCCACCGAAGGCCCCGTTGGGAAAGTTCGCATTGCACCGCCGCCCCATTTTCGGCACACCCTTCACACGCTCCGTGGCACCATAGAGAGCTCCACCGAAGGCCCCAATGGGAAAGTTCGCATGGCATGGCCGCCCCATTTCGGAACACCCCTCACACGTTTCGTGGCCCCATCAGGAACTCCACCTAAGCCCCGAGTGGGAAAGTTCGCATGGGACAGCCGCCCAATTCTGGCACACCCCTCACACGTTTCGTGGTCCCATAGGGAGACCACCTAAAGCCCCAGCGGGAAAGTTCGCACGGCACCGCCGCCCCATTTCGGCACATCCCTCACGCGCGTCGTGGCCCCATCAGGAGCTCCACCGAAGGCCTCAGTGGGAAAGTTCGCATGGCACCGCCGCCCCATGGGAAAATTCGCATGGAACCGCCGCCCCATGTCGGCACACCCCTCACACGCTTCGTGGCCCCATACGGAGCTCCACCGAAGGCCCCAGTTGGAAAATTCGCATGGCACCGCCGTCCCATTCTGGCGCACCCCTCACAAGTTTCGTGGCCCCACACGGAGCTCCGCCGAAGGCTCCTGTGAGCAAAATCGAATGGCACCGCCGCCCCGTTTCGGCACACCCCTCACACGTTTCATGGACCCGTGGCACCGCCGCCCCATTTTTGCACACCCCTCAAACGTTCCGTAGCCCCATACGGAGCTCCACCGAAGGCCCCAGTGGGAAAGTTCGCATGGCACCGCCGCCAGATTTCGGCACGCCCCTCACACGTTTCGTGGCCCGATGAAAGCTCCACCGAAGGCCCCCAGTGGGAAAGTTCGCATGGCACCACCGCATCATTTCGGCACGCACCTCACACACCGTGGCACCATAGTGAGCTACACCGAAGGCCCCAGATGGAAAAATTGCACGGCACCGCCGCCCCATTTCGGCACACCCCTCACGCGTACCGTGGCCCCATAGGGAACTCCACCGAAGGCCCCTGCGGGCAAGCTCGCATGGCACCGCCGCCACATTTCGGCACACCCCTAACACGTTTCGTGGTCCCATAGGGAGCCCCACCTAAAGCCCCAGTGTGAAAGTTCGCATGGCAACACCGCCCCATTTCGGCACAACCCTCACATTTTTCGTGGCCCCATAGAGAGCTCCACCGAAGGCCCCAATGGGAAAGTTCGCATGGCACCCCCGCCCCATTTTCGGCACACCCCTCGCACGCTTCGTGGGCCCCAGTGGGAAAATTCGCATGGCACCGCCTCCCAATTCTGGCACACCCCTCACAAGTTTCGTGGCTCCATAGGGAGCTCCGCCGAAGGCCCCAGTGGGAAAGTTCGCATGGCACCGCCGCCCCATTTCGGCACACTCCTCACACGTTCCGTGGCCCCATATGGAGCTCCACCGAAGGCCTCAGTGGAAAAGTTCGCATGGCACCGCCGCATCATTTCGGCACACCCCTCAAAGTTTTCGTGGCCCCATAGGGAGTTCCACGGGAGGCCCCAATTGCGATGTTCGCAGGCGTCCTCCCGACTCCTGTCGGCACACCCTTCACGCGTTTCGTGGCAGAAGGCTATACCGCTTGCGCTCCTCGGAGTCTGCGCGCCCCCCTCCTTCGACTCATCTCCCTCGCGGCACTCGCAGCTGCATATGGTTGGGTCCTTCGTCAGGCTTCTTTTCGAACGTGGCTGGCCAGCGAAAGTCGCCAAGGACGGGCCGAAGGGGCAAGGATGCAGGAATAACCTTAGCAAATCGCTCGTCCTTGCTGTGCGGGTTGGCTGTGCCCCCTGCGCGCCCGTGGCGTCACGCGGCCGTGCGCACGGCGACACGGTGGGTGTCGGCCCGAAGGGCGCGAGGCCTGCAGAGAGAGCGCGCCGGGCCCAAACGCACCCCCCCCCCTCCCACACCAACACCCACACCCATCCACCCACCCATCCAGCCACCCACCCACCCACCGATCCAGCCACCCAACCACCCACCCACCCTCGCACCCACCCACCCACCCACGAACCCACCCACACACACACACATACATTTGCGTCGGCGGCTAGGCAGACGGCGACTGCGCTGGCAGTGAGAGGCTTAAACGGAGATGCCGTTAGAGCGAATTGTGCCACAATGCCAGAGTAGGAGGAGGGAGGAGGGACGCGGTCGAAGAAACACACACACAGACAACAGACAAGCAATAACACGACGTCGTACAGCAATAACAACAACAGCGACAACAACAACAACACCAACAACAACAACAACAACAACCACAACCACAACCACAACCACAACCACAACACCACCAACAACAACAACAGCAACAACAACAATCATTAGATAACAACAACACAACAACAACAACAACAACAACAACAACAACAACAACAACAACAACAACAACAACAAAAACCACAACAACCACAACAACCACAACCACAACCACAGCCACAGCCACAACCACAACCACAACCACAACCACAACACCACCAACAACAACAACAGCAACAACAACAATCAGTAGATAACAACAACACAACAACAACAACAACAACAACAACAACAACAACAACAACAACCACAACCACAACCACAACCACAACCACAACCACAACCACAACCACAACAACAACGACGACGACGACGCCAACAACAATAACAACAACAACAATCATTTTACCCGAACGCGTGGTGTTCTCCCCAGTGCCAGGGTTTTCATACGACACCAGGCAATACCCCCACTTCGTGGGGGGGCATTACAAGCTCTACCAAATATCCAAACGACTCTTCGCGACCACCCAAACCCAGCTTCCCGCCCTATGACGTTGGGACACTTCACTTCGTGGCGTGCGGACGACCGTGGCTACTACACTGGCGTGGGGTACACACCCACAGAACTTGGTCACTTATTCGGGGCGCGCATGTGCCCAGCATGGTGCAATTGTGCCATACAATACATAATACAGAGAGACAGAGAGAGAGACAGAGAGCAGACAGAGAGAGAGACAGGTGTTTTTCGAGGACCTACGGTGCGATTCGTGTGATTTTATGATGCGCGGTGCTAAAATTCTTAAGAACCCAATGGTTTTAGGAGATTTCGGCGTGCGCGCGCGAAGAAAAAACGAATGTGTCCCGCATGGTATTATTTGACAGGGATGATGGCCCTGGCAGGTGCGCAACCGTTGTCGCAGAAGTTCGAAAAAGTTGCTCGCAAAAGCCCGTTTGACAGAAATGTTTAAAAAGTGTTGGGTTTCCTACGAATCCGCAAGAGCGCGCGGGATGAGATTTTGACATTTTTTTGTTGAAAAACCATTGGTTTTTTGATGTTTTTATGTTAAAATCGCTCCGAACACTAAGCTTTTGGAAGGATTTCGTCTTGCGCGCGCGAATGTCCACTTTACCTTATTTTTTGCAAGGGATTCTTGAAATTTGATTATATTAGAACAAGAAATGTCATTTTATAGTGTTTTTTGCAAGGGAAAGCGGGGGGGAACAAAACAACCGGATCTGGACACATCGTTTTACCTGAGGCTTCCTCACGAAAATGATGAAAATGTAGCTGCGGCCTAGGCGCGGCGGGGGGGGCGTGCACCAGGGGGCCCAACAATAATTATTCTTTAGAATTAATAATGTTCAACAACAACAACAGCAACAACAACTGCCAGAACACGCGACCCCATGCCTCTGCAGCATATTTGCTGGGGCAGCACAGGCCCGCCGGTGCCCCGCGGGGGCCGGGAGATCCGGGCCAAAGCGCCCGCCGTGCTCTCCTGCAGTGACGCCCCTCGGGCGTCTGCGACTGCGACCGACCCGCCTGAAGATGATTCCTTCCTCACCCTCCTCCTCCTCTGCCTCATCCCCCTCCTCCTCCTCCTCCTCCTCCTCCTCCTCCTCCTCCTCCTCCTCCTCCTCCTATGCCTCATCCCCCTCCTCTGCCTCCTCCTCCTCCTCCTGCTTCTCGTGCTCCTCCTGCTCCTCGTGCTCCTCCTCCTCCTGCTTCTCCTGCTCCTCCTGCTCCTGCTCCTCCTGCTCCTCCTGCTCCTCCTGCTCATCATGCTCCTCATGCTCCTCCTCCTCATCATCATCATCCTCCTCATCCTCCTCCTCCACCTCCTCCACCTCCTCCTCCTGCTTCTCCTTCTCCTCCTGCTCCTCCTGCTCCTCCTGCTCCTCCTGCTCCTCCTCCTCCTCCTCCTCCTCCTCCTCCTCCTGCTCCTGCTCCTCGTCCTCCTCCTCCGATATCAGTCCCAGTGAAAGACAAGAGCCATCGATACTAGAACAACGTCCAGAGGTCCGCGCGGATCTCTTGGTTCGGAGCTGGACCTCCTATGCAGCGCCTCTGGCGCCGCCACTGGTGCGCTCCGCGCGCAGGCGCCGATCGAAGAAATCCGCGCTGAGCTCTATGTCTATGGCAATGATCCCAGGCCCCCGACGTCATGATTGTTCCATAACGTCGACCCCCAAAGGCCCCGACCCCTCCCCGGGGACCGGTTTCTCATCCTGAATTGTTCTGTTGCCGGTCCCGCGGCCCGCGGCCCGGTGAGAGCCCCCATGGAGCCGGAAATAGCGAAACACCTCCCGTCACAATTTTGTCGTAACGCGAGGATTTCTCACTCTGCCTGGCGCTGGGGCAGGAATCGGCGGCGAGCGAGGGGGAGAAACGAGAAGCAGAGAAGCCTTTTCAGAAGGCGGCGGGACCTCTCAAAGCCCTCGCGCCTTCTCTGAGAAGTGTTTTGTTTCTGTCTCTGGGGAAGGCTCTAGAAGACTGCTCAGAACGCCAGGGGACTTCCGAGCCTTCTGAGAAGGCATTCTCCTTCTCCTGAGCATTTCCTTAGGGTGGAGGGCTTAGGGTGAAATCCATATGGACTTTCGCACCTCGAAAACCAATCCGTCTTGTGATTCACCTCTTGCAGAAGCAAGCCTCGAACATCCATCGAAACGGCATTTCAGATTTCACCATTTGCCCTCCACCCAAAGAAAATGCTCGGTTCTCACTTTCCCCCCTGGAGGACGAAGAGGAGAAGGAGGGGGAAGAGGAGGAGGAGGAGGAGGAGGAGGAGGAGGAGGAGGAGGACCCCCTCCCCCTCCTACTTCTGCTGGTGGCGGTGGAGATCAAGCCCACAAAACTATGCACCGCAACGTGTGTGCGCCGTACCGCGCTGGCGCCTCCCGAGGCGTCGTCGGTCCTCGACCGGTGAGGAATGGTGTGGTGGGTTGCCTCTCGACCGAAACCCCGCGGGGGGGGGGGGGGGGGGGGGCGCATCCTCCTCCTCTCCTCCTCATCCTCCTCCCTCCTCCTCCTCCTCCTCCTCCTCCTCCTCCTCCTCCTCCCTCCTCTCCTCCTCCTCCTCGTCCTCCTGCCCCCCCCCCCCCTCGCTCGCCGCCGAATGAAGGAGGTCTTGGGGACTCGAGCGGCGGCGTCCTGGGACGCGCAAAAAAAAAAAACATGCACGTCTGGCCACGAGGGGCCTCAGCGGAGGTCCAGCAGCAGCACGACGTGTGGAAATGTGGACGAAGAGGACAATCCTAGACGTCCCAGGAGCTCTCAAAGAACAGCCCCCCCAAGGCTCCAAGTGGCTCCTCCCCTCCTCCTCCTCCCTCCTCCTCCTCCTCCTCCTCTCCTCCTCTCCTCCTCCTCCTCCTCCTCCTCTCCTCCTCCTCCTCCTCCTCCTCCTCCTCCTCCTCCTCCTCCTCCTCCTCCTCCCTCCTCCTCCTCCTCCTCCTCCTCCTCCTCCTCCTCCTCCTCCTCCTCCTCCTCCTCCTCCTCCTCTCCTCCTCCTCCTCCTCCTCCTCCTCCTCCTCCTCCTCCTCCTCCTCCTCCTCCTCCTCCTCCTCCTCCTCCTCCTCCTCCCCTCCTCCTCCCTCATCCACCTCCTGCACCCCCTCCTCCTCCTCCTGCCTCTCATCCTCCTCCCGCTGCACCCCCCCCCTTCCTTTCATCTTCGTCGTATTCAGGGTCGGCGGCACCAGCCGTACGGCCTTCGCGATAAAGACGCACAAATCCCAGGATCCCCACCATTTTCTCGTAGCTCCTTGACTGTCGTCTTCCCCCCACTACCCATGGTGTCCCATATTTCCCTGGGAGTCGACGATTATTGGAGTCTGTCTGTTTTACCCATCCCGGTAGATAGAGGAAACGAAAAAACAAAATGTCTTCTCCGCCCCGTTCACAATGCAGACCCCCTCGAGTCGTGAAAAAATCGCATTACGACGGGAGATGTCTTCGCTATTTTCGGCATCCAGGGGCCCGCATTGGGCCTTGGGACCGTCAAAACACGACTCGGGATAAAAAGCCGGTCCCCAGGAAAGGGGTCCAGACTTCTGAGGGTCACGCCGTGAAAAAATCACGACGCCGGGGGGCTGGGAATGTAGACCCCCGCGGAGGTCTACCCCCTCCTAGGACCTTCTGTCCTTCCCGAGTCGCTCTTGGACGGCCCCCGGGGCCCAGCAAGGGCCCCATGAAAACCTCCGCCCTAATCGTGTCTGGACCGGTCAGTCAGCCTCGAATATAATCGAGAAACCAGGTCGCAGCGGAAAGTGCGTCGGGCCAGGCCGCCTTGGCACGAAGTCGGGAACCCCGCGGTTCACTAGACGCCAAAGCCACATCGCGAGGAGAACACGAGGCGAGGCCGCGCCAGGGTGCACCACAGCGCCACGCGAGCATCCTGCCGCCTGGGGTCTCCAGCATACCGACATCGGATCGCATCGAGCGGGCCGAGACGGGGCCCGCGACGGAGGCATCCTGGCCCCACCTGCCCGCCACCCCCAGACCCCCGACGTCGTGAGTTTTTCGTTACGTCGACCCCCCAGAAGTCCGGACCCCTTCCCCGGGAGCGGTACTGCATCCTGAGCCGTCTCTTGACGGTCCGCAGGCCCGAGAAGCTCCCCCGGAGAGCCCGACGAGAGCCCCCCCAAAAAAAAACTCTTCGTGATGTTGTTCGCAACGCGGAGGCCTGGGACCGACAGCCCGCGCGAGGTAAAGCGCCGCGATTTGTTCACGGCGCGTGGGGGGGCCAGGGACCGACGGCCCCGCGCGAGGTCCTCGGCGCGCGAGCGGGCCTTGCGGTGCGCGACGCCCCTGGCCTCATGGGTCGGACATGTCCTC